CAGCAATAAAGTTTATATAGTTGAGAACAAACATATATGTTCCACCTTTCATAGCATTATTTCTACAAAAACTGGCCCCAACCAGGTAATTTTCCATTACAGTGTTGTAAATTTCAGCATTCTTTAGATGGTGCTCACTAATACAAATGATATGTGGTAGCTCAGGGTATAAGAAACTTAGCAGTTCATTGATTTTAGATTTCAAACCACAGATGTTCTGATAGTACATATTTAAAAAATTTGTTGAGACACATGATTTACCACTTTACTATTCAAACTATTTAAGTGTGATAAATTACAGTAATCTTGGTTACTAAAAAATATTAGTTGGGTTTAACTTTCCCATCGTGTTACTTTCATCAGTATTCTGCAATAAAGTATGATTGGCAGTAGACAAATGACTGACTGACTGGGCTTGAAACTCATAACAGCCAACTGGTATAATATTGTTGCTTGAATTACTTGTCTTTTTTATAAGGGAAAAAATAACATGAGCCAAATTAAGAGAAACCATCTTTTTTCCTCGGCCAGTCAAGTGAAGCCCATGTTTAGTATAATAATGCCTATTTTCATCTATTTCAAGAACACTAAGATGAGAGAACAGTTTTCCCAATTTAATTAATCTTCTATTAAATTTGGTAGTCTCATTATTAATACTGCTATTAGCACCTTCTAAGTCATGTCTAGTAGGAATTCTTAATAAAACAATTTTTGTGTGAGTAGTTCTCTTGATAAAATCGATTAAATCGCTAAAAACTTCACTTAATTTAACTTTGCCTATGTCATTAGATCCAGAGGAAACAATAATAAAATCACTAGATAACAACTTATTAATCTCATTAATCATTTGTTCTAATATGCTCTTTGTTCACGCTCCAGGTTTGATAAAACCATTTACTTGGAACTGGTCATTCAGGTAAGTTTTTATATTTGCAGAATACCCTCTTAAATGGCTATCTCCTATAAGCAGTACTTTGTGTTTCTTGCAGTCAGGAATACTAGATCTATCATCTAACAATTTAGCATACAAATCATTTAAAGCACTTTGGGTAAGAGATGCTTCACTGTTCTTGAAAGCAATATTAAAGTTCCTAGTTTCCGAAACATAGCCATTAAATATAGTTGGAATTTTATTTTTAGGTTCCATATTTTCATTCTGAGTATGCAGAAGATAATTTATCTGCTGATTCTTCCCTTCATTTACAAAGTTACTTTCTCTTATATCTTCCATAGGCTGCCCGTTGTTTAAATATTTGTTCCCCTTCACAGCCATATTTTCTGCATCAACCATAACCTCAGATTTTCTGTCACCTGCTCCCAGTTCCTTATATAGTAATTTGTTTATTAATTGCAATGATCTTATCTCTATAAGAGCTTCTTGATGATTCATTTCACTATCAACACATTTAGAACATTGGGAGATCTTATAAACCTCTTGATTATACTTATTTATCACATCTTGAGAACATTGTGCTAGAACAATATCTTCCATTTGTTTGACCTCTCTGTGAAGTAACTCCATCATTTTTTGGCAGATTTTAATTCCATCTGAGTCATTTTTAATTCTAACTCAAGTTCGGAACAGCCAATACATGTTACACTTGATCCATTACTATTCTCGGCCAAAATTGTAGAGCTGCTCATTTCATATATCCAACCGTCCGCCATGTTAAGTAATAGGTGTTTGGCAATATGATGATTCATCATGCCATAAAGTGCAACTTATTATCCTCCAGAAAGAGTGATTTTTAAATCTCCCATTACTTGGGGCTGTTGGCCACATTTTAATTTAGAGTAATAGTTCACTGTCCAGTTAAACAGGATTTTAGATCACCTGGTTCTACGGGGCTTGTAACCTAATTTAACTCTGATGTACTGGTATCTAAATGGAATGTGATGTCCATTAATAAAAGTTCAATATAAAACTGATCTGTGTGTGTGTTTGAAATCCATGTTAGGTGGGCCCCTTGTCACCATGGCATGGTGTCCTCAGGTTGTGGATGGAGGAGACAGCCCTTAGATGTGGAGGGCAGCTGTGAATATACAGAATAAGAAGTAGCAAAGAGTCAACAAGGGGTGGTCCTCCAGCTTGGGGGTTGAGCATGCAGCTAACAGCTCCTCACCATAAAAAATGAGCTTGTTACGAAATGCCATAAAGAGCCTCGGACCTGCACAGATCCTTTGGATAAATAAATAAAGTAGACACAAAACTTGGGACATGGAATGTAAAAAGTCTGTATAGGGTAGGTTCGTGTATGACAGTAGAGGAAGAAATATAAAAATATAAGTTAGATTTTGTAAGAGTACAGAAGGTCAGATGGAACAGGTGACACCAAGCCAGCAGGCTAATATACATTTGCCTATGGAATTAGGAATGAGAATCATGAATTAGGTACAGATTTCTTCGTACATAAAAGAATCATATCAGCAGTTACGAAGGTGGAGACTGTTAATGCTAGAATGTCATACATAATGCTAAGAGGTTGCTGGTGTGATATCATTGTTGTGAATGTTCATGCCCCATTAGAGTTCAATGCCAAAGTAGGTAGAGAAGACATTTTCAAACCAACAGTTGGGAATGAGAGCTTTCACAAAATCAGTAATGATAATGGAGTAGTAAACTCTGCCACATCGAAAAATCTTACTGTCAACAGTACAATGTTCCCACATCGTGACATTCATAAATTTATGTGGAAATCTCCTGATGGGAAGACACAACCAAATTGACCATATTTTGAGAGACAGGAGATGGAACTCAAGTATACTTGATGTCAGATTGTTCAGGATAGCAGAATGTGGAACTGACCACACTATCTTCTGGTGTCAAAAGTCAGGGAGAGACTGGCAGTGAGTAAGCAAACAACACAGAGTTCACATGGAGAGGTTCACTTTCAAGAAATTAAATAAGGTAGAGGGCAAAGAGCAGTACTATGTTGAAATATCAAATAGATTTGTAGCTTTGGAAAACAATGCTGTCAATATTAAAACAGCTTGGGAAACTATTGGACAGGATATCAAAATTTCAGCCAGACAGAGTCTAGGTTATTATGAACTGAGGAAAGACAATCCATGGTTTCATAAAGGACGTTCAAACTATCAGATGAAAGTAAACAATGCAATGGTTACAGGACCCATACCAAATATACAGGAATAACTGAACAATGTAAGACCTGAAACAAGCAGACATGGTGATATGCATACACATTTACACATTTTCAATAGGTGGAAGAAGTGTTTCTCTCAGTTATTGAATGTGATATTAGGCAGACAGAAGTACATACAGCTGAGCCATTAGTACCTGATCCTAGTGCTTTTTAGGTTGAAACTGCCTTTGCAAAGATGAAAAATTTTAAATTGCCAGGTAGTGATGAAATTCTGGCAGAACTGATTCAAGCAGGTGTTATATTACAGTCTGAGATCCATAAACTCTTAATTCTATTTAGAATAAGGAACACTTGCCTGATCAGTTGGGGTCTGTAATTGTACCAGTTCACAAGAATGGCAATCAAACTGACCGTAGTAATTATAGTGCATTATCACTACTATCAACTTCATACAAAATTTTATCCAGTATCCTTCTCTCAAGGTTAAGTCCGCATACAGATGAAATTATTTGGAATCATCAGTGTGGGTTTTGACATAACAGATCAACTACTGTCGGATCTTTTGAACTCATCAGACATTAGAGCAAAATGGGAGCACAATGAGACTTCAAGAAGGTCCACGATTCAGTTTGGAGGGTAGAACTGTACAACATTCTCATAGAATTTGGGGTACCCATGGAACAGTCTGATTAAAATGTGTTTAAATGAAACGTATAGTAAAGTTCATATAGTCAAACACTTGTCTGATAATTTTCCTATCCAGAATGCCCTACAACAAGATGTTTTATCACCACTACTTTTCAACTTTACTTTAGAATATGCTACTAGGAAGGTCCAGGAAAACCAGGTGGGACTGAAATTAAATGAAACACATCAGCTGGTGGTCTATGGTGATGATAATCTACTGGGTGATAATATAGATACCACAAAGAAAAACCCACAAACTTTAATTGACACTAGTGAGGAGATTGTTCCAGAAGTCAAAACAGAGAAGACTAAGTATATGTTGGTGTCTCATCAACAGAATGAAATAGATAGACAACAGATGTTTTGAAAATGTTGTACAGTTCAGATATTTGGCAACAACAGTAACACATCAAAAATTTATTTATGAGGAAATTAATAGTAGACTGAATTTGAGTAATGCTTGCTACCATTCAGTCCAGAACCTTTTTGTCTTTTCATCTGCTGTCTAAAAACATAAAAATTAGAATATATAAAACTATAACTGTTTCTGTGGTTCTGTATGGGAGCAAAACTTGGTCTCTGACATTAAGGGAGGAACATCGACTGAGGGTGGGTGTTTGAGAACAGGGTGTTGAGAATATTTGGACCAAAAAGTGAGGACGTGATAGGAGACTGGAGAAAACTGCATAATGAGGAGCTTTGTAACTTAACTATTCACCAGATAATCAGAATGATCAAGTCAAGGAGCAGGAGATGGGCAGGGCATGTAGCACAAATGTGGTGGTGGGGGGAAGGAATGCATATAGGATATTGGTGGGAAAACCAGAAGGAAAGAGACCACTGGGAACACCATGATGTAGGTGAGTCGACAATGTTAAAATTGATCTTAGAGTGATAGGATGGGATGGTATGGGCTGGATGGATCTGGCTGAGGATAGGGACCAGCGGAGGGCTCTTGTGAACACTGTAATGAACACTTGGATTCCATTCAATGCTGGGAAGTTCTTGAGTAACTGCTGCTTCTCAAGAAGAGCTCAGCTCCAAGAAGTTAGTTAGCATGTGTAAAATTTCCAATCCTAAAACTAGCTAAAGTATTCAATCTAGTCCTTGGGCTTCTGCTAAATTCTTTCACTGTCAGCCTAAGTACATGTTCAGTACATGTGGTATGTCTGCATAACAAGTGGTAGCTTATTTGATCAGGACACCAACCTTTTCAGCTTGTGGCAAGGTTCTAGGAAACCCATCTAGAAGGAACCCATTTTTACATTCTGGTCGATCCAAGTTGGATTCCACTAGACTCACAACCAAATCATCACTGACTAACTTTCCTGCACAAATGGTAAAAGAAAATACACTAAACAACAGTGTTACATAACATCATCCTGTAAATGGCTTCTCTAAATCACCAGTCTGTTAGAAGTTCTGTGTTTCAAAAAGACATGTATGTTGAAAACATGAAGTATGTATCTACATCTACAAAATAAACCTAGTAGTAAATCATGCTGAAGTTTTAATGAACAAGATCAAAGAAAACAACATGGTACAACTGGTTAACATCAGACATTTAATGGTGAGGACAATACCATATTCATGGTAATCAAAGAATGTGGGGAAGTCAGGAGAGGTCAGGCATCAATGCACAAAACACAATTATTACAAATATCCAATACTGTTGGACAGAAAACTTAACCGTGAGGCTGAAAGGTATTAGAGAATATATGTGATAGTTCCTACATTACACTTGATTAAAGAATTAATAATAGCAGGAATGTAAGGTTGTATACATGGAGATCTACAACTAATCAGTGCAGTAAACGTAAGTCAGTTGTAAAGTAGTCTAAAGCTGGTGTATAACACCGCAGAACAAATGGGGGCTGAAGTTATTTATTTTTTGCCCTCTATGATTCACATAATAAAATTATCGCATGCTTTGAATGTTTTACACAGAATTACTTCTATTCTTTTAAAATACCTGCATCCATTTCTGTTTTTATCTTTCGACCCAGAGGAGAACCGGATGATACCTCTGCACGCAACATATCTCCAGTGGACAGATGACAAAGACAGAATTTATTCTTAAGCAGTGGTGCCTGAAAACATAATTTATTATACATCCTATCCTTTTATAGTCTTTATAACAACAGATTATTCAAATTAAATTACTTACCTGTGTTCCTTTACCAGAACCAGGTGGTCCTAGAAGTACAGCATTTATTCCTAACGGTTCATCACTTGCTTCTTTAGGCAACGGCTGTGCTAAAGGAGGCATATTTTAGGCAACTGTATAAATTAACACCTTGGCTCAAATTATAAGGTCTGTTACACACCTACGAAGAGCAACGATCTCTTTATTTAAAACAAATATTCGCTAGTTATCACACTAACTCATTATCGCCTAAACCAACCTATACAAATTTACCAAGAACCACAGGCCTCACGTAACAAGCGAGCAGCGGATTCCGATAAGAAAAACAGCGGAAGGCAGAGGTTACGTAATTTTCAAGGACGTAGTGTACTATTGTGAGGCAAGCAGACGTTTTTAAATTAAATACATGTAAATATAAATATGTATATGCTAAAATTATGGACATATCCGTATTTAAAAATAGTCATAGCTAAGGAAGCAGCAATAATTCATGTACACTTATTATTTGTGACGATTATTCAATAAAACCGGTATTAAATATTCTAGGTCTTCTAGGTCACATTTCAGCGTGAAACTGATCATTTCTCATAATTTATTCAAGGACATCATTTCATATACAGGTGTATAATATAGACTATTAGTTATTAACTAATTATATCTTCAACAGTGCATTATTTGTAGAGAGCAACTCCAGTTGTTCATAGTGTCGAATAATTTATTGACATGTCCCTTGTACCGCAGTGCGTATGGCACATTCCTACGGTATCTCTCGTCAGTCGTTGAGGGCAGGAGTTAGCTGCAAGTAGCGCAGTTAACGACGAGGCGGTTGCTTGAGTTTAGTTTTATAAAATGGATTGGCTTTTGACGTCATTAGATATTTTATTTGATTTTCCAAGATGGTATATAGGTGCAGTTCTCGGCACCGGGTTTTTTACATATTACCTGCGTGAAGCGGTGAAGGTATGTCTCTTAAAAAGGAAGATTTTGGCTTTTATGACTTGCACTTCCACAGTTTTGATATGTGCATGAACAGTGCAGATTAAAAGATTACATAATTACAAAGTGAGATACGAGAATATTTTTATGTGATATATTCTGTGAACTTTAAACATGATTTAAGAGATTTATCAGTTTGTACTTTTTCGTTCTAATAGAAGTTGTCAAGTTTTGAAACCGAGGATGATAGTTCAGAGAATTTTCGAAAATGAGCGTAAAATGTTTAAAATGCAGTGGAGACAGGAAGAGTCACAATGTTATATTATTTACTCAGGTCCTTGAACCATTATTAGGTAATAAAGAATATGCAATTGTAAGATGGAAATTTTGAACTCGAATTTTGTAGATATCGGTACATATACGTAGTTTCATACTCATTGCCGAATTTACAGTTGTCGGGGCCCATATCAGTATCAACAAATTTAGGTCATGACAATAATTTTTTCTCTTTGTTCTTATTTCTTTTGATAACTAAAAATAGAAACTAACTTTTCTTGATTATAGAGAAGCAGATGCCTCAATAAAATCTGTGGATTCTATTTCTGTTTGCAGTGGCTCATGGTCACGCCCCATAAATCTGGCCCATACTTATACTACTCCATGTAGAATTTTTCACACATAAAGTGGAATACTACAAGGAACATACAAACATTCTTCACTGTGATTTTCTTGCTTACCGAAATGCATAGTAACTTAAACTAATATTTTTATGGGATTAGAAGTTTCAGCCCCCTCCAATTTTTTTATTCTCAACAGAGAAATATAGACGGAAGAACATAGTTTACCTTAGTAGTGGTAAAGGTAAGGTAAAGTTGTCACTGTGCTTAACTAATTAAGCACTACACCATGAAGGTGCATGTTGGAGTGGATGTATAGATCCACATTTTCTTGACCTTGGCACTAGTTGAAGGTGAGCGGTTAACTTCACACCTCGGCTGCTTTGCCCCGTTGAAAGAGCCCCTGGTACCCATTGGATAGAATTTGCAATCCATCAGTGAATACACTAGCTCCTTCACTGACACTGTGTACCATACACAGCCGGTCACATGATCGAATCCTACTTGAGCAATTTCTTTTCTTGCAGTTGCAAATGCTAAGAACGGCTGTAGCCCCAGTCAGATTATCTCGGCATTTTCTGGGAGGGGGCCTGAGGTAAACGACAAAATCCTCAGTCAGGATAGCCAGAGTTCCAACCAAGATTTTAACAGAGCACCTTCCAAATATAAGTCTAGAGTGTTACCACTGTGCCATCCTGCAGGTGGTTATTATTGCTGTTAGGCTTAGTGATTAGTAGATCTATTACATTCTTTTTGGAATAATGTATTGAGTACAGGTTTTTCCAGCATTAAATTTGTCACACAGAACTCATCAGTTCACTCTATCACCATGTTTGTAAGTATGGACATACGTATGTCCAATATTGTATGCAGCTATGTAGGTGTTTTTATAATCTGTCGTCATTCAAAATTTGACAAGTCTAGATCAAATGGCTATCTGTTAGGCTCAAGTTTTGCCAAAAGAGCCTACAAAGGGGAGGAGTGTGTATTTTTGTTAAGACAGATCTATATTTCAGTAAAATTGATATTTCTCAAGGAGCAAGACTTTGAAATCTGTGCAATACAGCTAGTAACTAAAACATCTCACCTAATTATACTAAGCCCGTACAGAGCCCCTTCAGGAGATGTTAATGAATTCCTAAGGAGACTAGATGCAACTTTAAAATATCTGTACAATCCAAAGTCTGAGTTTATACTCTGTGGAGACATAAACATAAACTATTTAAATGAAAGTAGTCAGAAAAAACAACTATTTAATAAGGACATACAGTCTGTCACACACAGTAAATTTCACAACAAGAGTTCAAAATTCCTCAAGCACAACCACTGATAATATCTTTATAGATAATGCAAGGTTACGCTCTTCTTGTACATCTCCTATAGTCAATGGCCTCTCTGACCATGATGCTCAATTTCGTACAGTAAATATTACTGTGGAAGTAAATTCAACACCCTTGAAACAGAGAACCAGAAACATAAATAGTGAAACCATTGCTCAAGTTCATCTATTAGAAAATGAAACGTGGGAACCTGTTTTCAAAAATAAGGATACAAATTATAAATTTACCTCTTTTTTATATAATTTTCTAAGTGTCTTTGAAGCCAGTTTTCCTATGCAGAATAAAAGTGTAAGTAGAATAAAAAACCACTGGATTACACAAGGAATAAAAATCTCTTGTAAACATAAAAGCCATCTGTATGTAGACAAAAGGAGCAGTAATAATCCCTACATAAGGTACTGAAAAATCCTGAGTAGAGTTATAAAAGAAGCTAAAAGGCAGCATTACTGTAGGCTTATAGCAACATTGAATAATCAGATAAAAACAACCTGGAATATAATAGAACATGAAACAGGAAAATCACATCTGACTGAACAGATACCATCTGATACCCATGAGAAATTGCAGATGCCTTCAGCACTTTTTTTCNACATCTGACTGAACAGATACCATCTCTCCTTATAAATGATGAAAAACTTGAGGACCCATGAGAAATTGCAGATGCCTTCAACACTTTTTTTTTAACATTTACAGAAAATCTAAACTTGCATCAGGAAGTGGGAAATAATGTCATTTCGTTTTTAAGAGAGACATATCCTAGAAAATTCTTTGGTATTACAACCATTCCAACCACTGAGACTGAAATGATAAGTATAATACATTCCCTCAAAACAAAAAACTCTTCAGGTTATGATGGAATAACAAGTAAAATTTTAAAAGTTTGTACATCTCTAATCAGTAGGCCATTAACTCAAATCTGTAATCACTTGCCATCCACAGGAATCTTCCCAGATCATCTTAAGATTTCAGTAGTAAGACCACTATATAAAAAAGGGGACAAGACTAGTATGTCAAACTATAGGCCAGTTTCACTGCTAACTACTTCTCTAAAGTACTTGGAAAAAGTTATGCACAATAGCTTAAGCCATTATTTTCAGAGTAGCAATATACTTGTTTTGACTTGTTCTGTATCCAAAGGTACTAACCTCCTTAGGATTTATAGAATGTAAATAAATTCAATTCAATTCAATTCAATTCAATACTAGTCCCAGAACAGTTTGGCTTTAGGAAAGGAATTTCCATTGAAAATGCAGCCTTTAAGTTAACAGACAGTGTGTTGAAATCTATTAATAAAAAAATGCATATTGGTGGAATATTCTGTGACTTGGCAAAGGCTTTTGAGCGTGTAAATCATGAAATTTTATTAACTAAATTACATTTTTTTTGGCATTCCAGGAACAACATTAAGTTGGTTCAGATCCTACCTAACAGACAGAAAACAAAAGATTGAAATAAAATCATAAAATTCAATCCAAAGTACCTACTCAAACTGGGGAATTATAAAACATGGAGTTCCACAGGGGTCAATTTTGGGGCCTTTGCTTTTCATAATTTATATAAACGACCTCCCTCCTACACTAAGGACCTATAATATTTGCAGATGACATTAGTGTTACAATTTCTGGTAAAAATTTAGATGATTTCTGCATGTTTTCTGCAAACAAGCTCTCCCTGAACCTAGAAAAAACAAATGTAATAACATTCATAACAAAAAACTCACCACAATATCCGTTAAACATAGGATATAATGATAAATATATAAAACAGGGAGTAAACACAAAATTCCTTGGCTTGCAGATTGATAATCATTTAAACTGGAAAACCCATATCAATCAGTTGATTCCTAAGTTAAGTAGAGCATGTTATGCAGTTAGATTCATGTTACATATTAGTAACATTGACACTCTCAAATCAGTCTATTCTGATTATTTTCACTCTTTAATGAAGTGTGGAATAATTTTCTGGGGTAATTCATCTGACAGTAAAAAGGTATTTACATTGCAAAAGAAAATTGTTACAATCATGATGGGTGTCAAATCCCATAATTCCTGTAGAGATCTATTTAAGAGACTACAGATCTTAACTTTGCCTTGTGAATATATATATTGATTAATAAACTTCATTACAAATAACGAACATTTTCAGATGAATGTGGATGTACACAGTGTTAACACAGGACACAAACACTGTCTTTATAAACCAATTGCTAACCTCTCATGCTTTCAAAAAAGCGCATATTATGCTGGGATCAACATTTTTAATAACCTGCCATCTGATCTCAGAGGTCTCATGAACGAAAAGGCACAATTTAAAATAGCACTGAAACGATACTTAAATACACATTCACTCTACTCTGTTGATGAATACCTGTTGTCTAAAAAATAACTTATGTATCTTTATATAGCGTTGTGTGTAGTCACTGTGTATTCTTAGTTTCTCTTGTGTGAGAACTCCATTGGGTCTGTACATATGTTTTGTATTTATATGATATATTCCACATCCTACAGTCATTTTGACTAACTTCGGATCTCTGGAATGCAATGCAATGTAATGTAATTTAATGGTTCATTATTTTCACCATCAATCCAAAAACTAAACATGGATTTCATGCATCTACCATGTTATTTTATATCTTACAAAACAGCCATTATCCTAGAAATTTTGTGAATATTGCTGCTGTAACTGCTGAGAGCAGAATGAGTCATTAACGCTGATAAATGCATTGTTCCCTTTGTTGTTACTATCACATTTCAGTACACTGAAAATCCAGTTGCTTCCAGTAGATTACTGATCAAACCAAGTTTCATGAAAGTGTGCCATTTATTTCAAAATTTGATGGGAGGATGCCCACACAAACAGCATGGTGTTCTCATAAGCCTACTTTTTCTCCAAAAGAAATGTAGCCCAAGAGGGAAGACAAGGGCACATTGAACAAGCTGCCATGCCATTGCCACATATGTCTCCTTGACAACTAAGGACAGAGAAATATAAACTGACTCAATATCATACATCCTGCTATCAGATCATACTTGACATGCAAACCTGACCACTTACATTAACCTTCCAA